CAACATGAGAACCATCCCCTTTTAACTATTGTATTTGACCTTTGTGTTGCAGATAATGGAGAGAGTTCGTGAGAATAAAAGACCAGAGATTCCTGAAAGTTGTCCGATAAAGCTAGGGAAGTTGATTACTATGTGCTGGGATTCTAAACCAAATAAAAGACCATCTTTCAAGGTAATGAGCTAGGTTACACAAATTGTAATACCAATTTGTTTATTTCTAAAAAAAACCTAAGCTTCAAACACTGTATGATATATGCAATAGTATTAATTGGCTTAAATTCTCACTAGATCTGTGACATTTAAAATATTTTTTTCTGCATATCGAGTACCCCTTCCCTCTTCATGCGTTTCGATATCAGTTTTAATATAATATCTTTAAAAAATAGTCTAAAATCTAAAATATATTGATGACAGTGCCATGATTAATAGAAACTCATCATTTTGTCTTCTGTTATGCCTGTCATTTATTAGTACAATCCATCCATTGCCTCACAATCTTGTTGTATAATTTCTTCCTTTTGTTAGGACATCTTAATATCCCTGGAAGGTTTGTCATTCCCACCAGAATGGAGAGACCTGTTTGCTGCAGCTGGAATCCCAAGAGAAGCAATGAACGACGTTCAGTCTGCAAGAAGTATCATTGAACTTGTTAACAAATCAGTTGAATTATCAGACAAGGAGTTAATGACAAGTGTCAGAGTAGTCCCAAAACTAGATCTTCAGCTCAGTATGGATGACAATATTATTCCTTGTTTGGACGGCCAGCATGTATATCAGATGAATGACAGTATGTCTGAGGATGAGGATTGGAACGTTAAGTCTATTAAGGAAAGTATTGATGAATTTGAATTGAAGATTCCACAGAGTGTATTGGATACTATGCATGACAACACTGCTGTGGATGAGCAGCATCATGTACATTTATCCGTACTGGAATGTAATGAATCTGATTTAGTCAGTGAAAGATCTGTTATTAGTGAACAATGCTCTGTGAAATCTGCAACAGATGTACATTCTGATAGATCAGGGGGGAGTGGTAAACACTCTGTAAGATTTAGTGACATTGATACACATTTAGGGGAATTACCAGCAGCTGAAAGCAAAGTGTTATCTTTAAAATCACTTGTTAAATTTGATCACCCAGCTAGCTCTGTTCAATTGCCAAAAGACAAAGTGACATCTGAGAAGGGTGATCATAGTTCCATCAGATTTGAAAATGGAAAATCATCGCCTACCAAAGGAACAAGTCCAAGAAGACCAGAAAAAATACACATATCTGAAACAAGAGATTCATCTGATAAGCCTGCTAGGCTGTCCACTGCCTGGGAAAAAACCCTCCCAACTGTGCAGAAACAACCTGGGAACATTCCTTTACCACCTCCTCTACCAGATGTAGCAAGATCACTTGCCATCACACAAGGTGCACGACCCAAAACAAGTCATTCCTTGAAGAAGACGCATCCACTGAGAAAAACGTTGGCTGCTCCTGCAGCCAGTCATGTTAAAATCCCAGTGTCTGAGCTACTGAAACAAAAAGCAAAATTAAAGTCTACTGATAATCCACATCCAAGTCAGTTAGCTGATCTCACAAGAATAAGCCATGATAAGCTAACCAGCATTGCAGAAATATTGAAGAAGGTGGGTCATTGTTGAACAATATCATTCTGAAAACATGTACTGATCTATCATCATTTGTGCAATTGGATTAACACTTGTTAACTGCTTTTCAAGAGAACATAAAAAGATCTATGTGATGTAACAATTGATCATCACAGTTCAGCTCTAGTGTTCCCCCTGAACCTAATATTTGTGAAGTATTTTTTAGTGAGGTAGCCAGACGGAATTTGGCAATCTGAGAATCATTTCCTTTAATTTTATGAGTTTTGATACACTGTGTTTTTGTATTCACTGTTTGTATTTGTGTGGCATTGTGAGTGTTGAATAGTAGAACTGATTGAACATATTAAAGTATACATTGTATTTGTTTTTAGGCTGTAACACATCGAAGAGTGGCAATGGGTGAAGATGCTGGTAGTATTGAACATTCCTATCCTAGTGGTGTCTGGTCTGTAGAAGAGCATTAATTTATGCAGTGATTGATGTGACTGAACATTGTATTACAGATAATAACTACTACTTAAAATGACTCTACAGTTCCTTGAATGGGACTGCTTTACAAATAAAATTTACCTAATTAGTAAAAGATTTGCTTGTCGTGTGCATGAATATTTGGTCGTATGACATTACCAAGTAATGACCATGGTAACTCTTAGGTCATAGTAACTTTTAGTAATATAATGTATTGTGCTTACATAAATGACAGTGGTGTGTCTATATCATATGATAAATACATTTATTGATTCTAATATGGAGAAAATACACTATTTATTCATACAATACAAATATTTTTCAGTGTGGTTGCCACAACAAAAGCAACAAAGTCAAAATAAAACCCAATGTATTTCATATATGTTATGGTGCATGTAGTTGATGTGTTTTGTGTTTTTTTTTAAATGTACTTAGATATGAACATATTGTATCTTATGATTTATTAAGTACATGGAATTTATTTAAAACAGAAAAAAATACTTGCAAATCCAAACATAGCGTAAAAACTATTAAGTCAGACCAGAACTGTAAATCAATCCTGAAATTCAAATTGTACTGTACATAACAATGTGTGATGTCCATGAATGATGTGGAGCTTAATCTTTTTTCACACTCACAAAAACTAAATAAAGATTATGTTGAAAGTCTGACAGATTTTAACTGAATACAACTTTTACTTAATTTGGCTTGGTATGAACGTCTTTACTGGAATTCTTACTCCAACTATAGACTTATTGTACATGTACTATCATGAAGTATATCTAACTATTAATTTTACATTTCTTATTGTGAATACGGCTACTACCGGTATACCAAATAGTACTTACTGTTTGATGTACAGGGCTTTTCTAGGGAGTTTCTGAATTACAGATAGAACAGAGTTAAGTGAGTTCTTGAAGTACAGAAATAACGCCCACCCTACCCGTTTTTTCTCCCCTAGTATTGCCTAATTCTAAATTATTGCACTTGTGGTTCATATGGTGGGACTATAATGCCTTATTATTAATTAAATATAATACTCCTTCTAATCAACATTTCTTCTGGATGTATTGACTCAAGATTCATCATTGGGGATGCCTGA